GGCGGGATTTCGGGCAGCATATCGGGCAGATTTCGTGGATCCCATGGACAATGTAAGATTTTGAGTCTCTTCTTCTTTATTTGGTATGACATGGATGTCAACAATTAATACAATACCAAAAATTCTCAACTTTGACTACGGTTTGTGTTGTGTATAATATTAATCATCTAAATAAGCTTAAAAAAGAAATGGAGTTACAATGAACTCTACCTGCACCAAACAGCATATCTGGTGCCAGAAGTTGCAAGTTTCCATTCCCCGTCTGTTGGGCACCAGGACCTATCGCCAATCTTAATGCACACTCTCTCTCCAATGATTGCAGCATACAGATTGGAGTGGGATTCCAGTATTCTCATAGTGGAGCGGCTGTGGATATCCTGATGTCTCCGCACATCCATCTGAACACAAAAATTTCATAGTTTTGAAGGAAATGAATGCAATGGAAATCATGAAAGAGAAGTTATGGGAAGTACCAGTCTCACAATTTGATCATGAATGGATTTTCCCCAGTCATAGAAATGATCATAAAATACGGTAGGTATTCCTGGATGAGTGAGTATGTAAGCGTATCCCTGCAAAAGTACAAGTTAGAATTATAAATTGCAGCAATGATAAGTGATGGGAAAATAGCAGTGAGAGTAAGTGAGAATGAGAAGAAAACTTTTAAAAAACACAATAAAAGATATAAAGATATATTAGTTCGATAAGATTGGCATAGCACAAAAATAATTCCGTCAAAGAAGAGATCAGAATTTTCTGTCCTTTTTTAAGTTGGAGAAAGAAAAAACAAAAGATGCAAAATGAAGTATAAATCTTGGAGAAGAAAATATCAAAGAAGCTCAAACAACTAGTATACAAAGAGAAAATATCAAAGACCCTTTGTCAAGCACGACGGGGTCAAGGGGCAGCGTCCTTGCCGGAGTTTCCGGAGGCAGCGCCCCCGGAATAAATTTTAGTTGTAAGGATATTTTTGGATTTTCTTTACTATTTCTCGTTGTATTTGGTTCATCGTTTGATTATGCTTGGGGTAAAACTTTTAAAGGGGGCAATTGCCTAAAAACTAATGTAATAAAGACTAAAA